CCACGCCCCCCTGCCCCTGCTCCTCTCCCCCTCCCCGCCCCTTTCTCCTCCTTCTAGGACTGGACCAGAGAAGCCACTGTGGCCACTGGGTGGGGCCCTTCCCCCAAGTTCTTGCCAGCCACCCCCAGGAGTCCACAGGGCGGCCAGGGTCCCCACCAGGCCTGGCGGGACCAGGATGCTGCCCCCTCCCCTCCCCCCCGGCCGCACCCAACTCTCCCATCCACCCGAACACCCAGTCTGACTGGAGACAGCCGGATGCCGGCTGACCCTGGGCCAGAGGCGGGCAGTGGCTGGCCAGGGTTCCTCATGTCCTGCCTGAAGGGCCCCCATGTCATCCTCAAGATGGAGGCCATGAAGATCGTCCACCCTGAGAAGTTCCCCGAGCTGCAGGCGGCCGCCCCCTGCTTCCCACCTGCACCCCGGCCCACCCCGGCTCTGGCACCCAAGCGAGCCTGGCCCTCAGACACAGAGATCATCGTCAACCAGGCATTGGGGGGGACATGCCTGCCTTGGAAGGGGCGCCCCGTACCCCACCCCTGCCACGTCGGTCCCGCAAGGGCAGTGCGGAGCTGGGCTTCCCCCGAGTGGCACCCGCGGACGAGGTCATCGTGAATCAGTATGTGATTCGGCCTGGCCCTGCTGCCTCAGGGGCCCCAGCAGCAGCGGCATCAGCCGCAGGTGAGCCTCTCGAGTGCCCCACCTGCGGCCACACGTACAACGTCACTCAGCGGCGGCCCCGCGTGCTGTCTTGCCTGCACTCTGTGTGTGAGCAGTGCCTGCAGATTCTCTACGAGTCTTGCCCCAAATACAAGTTCATCTCCTGTCCCACCTGCCGCCGTGAGACTGTGCTGTTCACTGACTACGGCCTGGCTGCGCTGGCTGTCAACACGTCCATCCTGAGCCGCCTGCCACCTGAGGCGCTGACCGCCCCATCCGGTGGCCAGTGGGGGGGCGAGCCTGAGGGCAGTTGCTACCAGACCTTCCGGCAGTACTGTGGGGCCGCGTGCACCTGCCACGTGCGGAACCCGCTGTCTGCCTGTTCCATCATGTAGTGCCCACTCACCCGCCGCCCACCGGTCCTCGCTCGCTGCTTCTTCAGGGATCTGGCCCTGCCCTGTTGCCCGCTGACCCCTTGCCCACCACAGCTTCTGGCCCCCACCCGCGTGGCATTGTCGCTGCAGCCAACTTTGCCATTAAAACTCTTTGCCAAAGTTTGCACCTTGTTCCCTGGACTGAAGCCTCGGTCTGTGCACAGGCCTGGGCCAGGGTGGGTACCCAGGGCTACTGCCCAGACAGGGTCTCTGCTGGAGCAGCCAGAGGAAGGCCCGGTGCTGCTTGGGGGTAGGCCTGCTCTGCTCGCTGGGGGCCAGGCTGGGCCAGGCGTGCTGCTTGGGAGGGCTGGGCCTGACCGTGTGCGTGTGTGCGTGAAGGCCCTGTGCTTCTGCGCAGAGCCAGCTGCTTGTATGCACCAGGCAGGACTGTGTGGGCAGGTGCACAAAGCAGGCCCAGCCAGGCAAAGGGAGGCCATCTCCTCTGCACTGCCCGCTGAACGTGAGTGCAGCCTATAGGCAGACAGCTCCGTCCAGCCGGCTCCTGGTGCCCGCATGGCTCTCTGAGGTGGTGTGAGAAGGGCCTACGGGCCAGTCTGAGCCGAGGCTGGGACACAGGCTGGCTGCAGTCACCGTCAGATGTGAAGCCCTCAGGGCCCTGGGTCTGGCACTCAGACGACCTGGATTTGAAGAAGGGGCTCTGTCACCTAGTTGGTGGAGGCAGGGTGATGACGATAAGGACTCAGTCACGACACTGTCAGGAGCAGCTGTTTATTGACAGCATTTCTTGTGCCGGGCACAGGGCTCGGCGTGCCACCAATGAGCCCACGAGGGGGGTGCTGTGACTGCGTCTGTCCCTCAAATAAAGGCCCCAGGCTCAGCCATGGGGGGCTGCAGGGGAGTGAGGGTGCCTTCGGCCCCAGGGCCCGCCCTGGTCCCTTGTGGCTGAGGGGCATGTGCTGCCACTCCCCTCCACCCCTGGGGCTGCTCAGGGCCGCCACTTGGACCCCAGCCCGGCAGGCAGAGGAGGCCCTTTGTGGGCCGGGCCTGTGCAGCAGGGGCCCTCCCCTCGGCTACCCTGACCTTCAGGGAACACACACTTGACTCTCAGCTGGAACGTGGGCAGGTGCCTGCTGAGGGCCCCACCCACTCCGAGCACTTGACCCAGGCCTCTGTTCATTTTTGTGTCCGCGGTGTCTGTGCCCCTCTTGCAGACAGGCCAGGCTGGAGAGCGGGGACAGCCCAGTGTCAGCATGGGGCCTGTCCCTCGAGGGGCACTTCGGGCCCTGGTCACAGGCCTCCTCTGGTGCTGTCCTTAGGCACCACTGGCTAGCGTCTGGGCAGCAGGGCAGTGTGGAGTCTCCGGCTGGGTCAGAGGCTTCTGGGTGGCCCTGGGTCCGAGGCTTGGGTCTGGGTTGAAAGTTAGTGCCCTGATCGACCTTGGGTTCTTCAGCCTGGCCATCAGGCCCCACGGCTCCAGGGCCTGGGCCAGTCTGGGCCTCCCATCCGTTGGTGGCCATGGCTACCTCAAGCCCAGGCCGTGCTGGTGGCAGACCCGGCGGGCTCTTCTCAGCGGCTGGAGCCGTCCAGCAGCACGAAGAGCAGCCCCAGCAGTATGAGCGGCATGAAGATGAGCAGTAGCCCCAGCAGCTCGAGGGCCAGCAGGCCCAGCAGCGCCATGCGGCGGGCGCAGGGCCCTCGTTCCCGCAGGGCCCAGAGCCAGGCACCCAGGCAGGGCGGGCAGGGCAGGAAGGGCAGGCAGCCTCGGCCGCCTAGGGGCCTCGTCAGGAAGTGCAGCTGGTAGCGGTGCTCTAGGCGGGCCCAGGGCCCGGGGCTCTCGTGGAGGGGCCCGAGGGGAGCAGCGGGCGCGGGGCGCTGGGGCCCGTCGGCCTGCAGCAGCTCCTCCTGCAGCCGGCAGATCTCCCACTCAAGCATGGGTGTTTTCTGACGACACAGCGGGCAGCGCACCCGGCCCAGGTCGGCACTGGGGGCCGCGCCCAGCAGCCGGTGCAGGCAGCCTGCACACAGGCTGTGACCGCAGTTCAGCAGGGCCAGCTGGTGCTCACCGGACCGGTAGGGCTCTGTGCAGACGGGACACTCCTCCTCCTCCCCCTGCTCCCCAGCCTGCTCCTCCTCGTCTTCGTCCCCGTCCTCTGTGGGGGCCCAGGGGCAGTCTATGACTGCTGCCCCCAGCAGGGGTTCACTGTCCAGAATCCTGGCACCCTGGAGGTTCGCAGGGGCCCTGCTGTCCAACCCGTCGTCTGCCAGCACCTGGCACAGTGAATCCAGGTGCTCAGGGCCCAGAGAGGCCGAAGGCGGACTGGTGAGCCCAGAGCTGAGGTCAGTGGGGCCATGAGTGGGGGCCCTAGGGCACAGTTCAGGGGTGGCAGCCCCAGGGCAGGAGTCAGGATGGGTGGGCGGGGACTCCAGGGCTGCGATGGGGGTGGTTAAGGCTGTGAAGTTCAGTGTGGCCCTCTAGGGCAGGGTCTGGCACTGACCTTACAGCAATGGCCGCCTCCTCCTGGCTTCGAGCCTCACTCAACGTGAACTTCACTTGGTCCCCAGCTGCCGGGCCAGCTCCTAGGCCCTGTGTTCTGTCCCCAACAGGATCTGCCCCAGCCCCGCCCCAGGTTTGGGGATCTGCGTGTCAGGGAGTGACTGACTGCCAGCCAGCCAGCCGATTCTAGGTGGAGGCAGGGTGCGTAGGCCCGCCCAACTTCTCCAACAAAAATTCCCCTCCCAGGGGCGGGGACTCCACTCCCACTGGCACCCCATCTTGGGCCACGCCCCTCCCCGCCCAGGGCCCAGGGCCTCTGTTTTGGGGCCAGTGGATTGGAGCACCCTGGCCTGGTGCCTCAGGCCTCCCACTGCTTGGCTGCAGGGGCCAGAGCGGAGCCTGTATAAGGTGGGCAAACAGCTGGACCCCAGCGCATCAGAATCAAGCACCAAAGTGCCTGGCTGAGCGGCAGTATACTTGTGCCCACCCTGGGTGGGCTATTCCCATGCAGTGAGCTGTGGGCCCACCTCCCACCTAAGGACCCTGACAACACCAGGAGGAGCAGGTGGGAAGCAGCCACCCAGAGGCCATCGTTTATTGTGGGGTCTGTCCTGGAACAGGGCGACGAAGGGTGTGCTGCCGGGGGCCTCCTCCGGCCGCTCAGGTCCTAAGCTCTGGGTGGGGTGGTGCAGCCCAGGGAGCCAACCTGACCAGGACCCAGGAACCCTGGAAGGAGGGGAGGGGCAGACTTGGAGCCATGGTGTAGGGGTAGGCTGGGTGGTGGACAGGTAGCAGGGTCAGGGTGAGGGTGGGAGCTGAGTCAGCTGTGCAGAAGAGCTGACAGTCCTCCGGCTGGGATCAGACGGGGCCCCCCTGAGACCACTGGCGGGAGTAGCCACGGCCAGCAGGACGACCCCTCAGGCCCACGTCTCCATCTGGAAACGCAGTGTCCGCTGGAGCCGGGCCAGGTAGGCAGCCGCGTCAGGGCCAGAGAGTCCGCCCTCCTCCTGGATGATGGACATCAGGGCGTCTGACACATCAGCCGGCATGTACTTGGCGTTGCTGGAGAGACAGGCAGGATAGGGCTCAGTGTGACCGGGTCCCGGGAGGACAGATTCCCACCCACAACCCACAGCCAGGACTCACCCAGCCAGGTAGAAGTGGGCCCCCTGGCGGTCCAGTAGCTCCCACACCAGCGGCCCCAACTCCCGGAGCCGGTGCTGCACGTACACCTTCTGCTCCTGTGGGGCAGGGGGTGGGGAAGTGAGTCTGTGATCCTCCTGCGACCCCTCCCCCCGCCCCCACCCCCTACACCCCAACCTGCTCCCGGGAGAAGGCTGTGACAAGAGTCAGGCAGCCCTGCTTCTCCAGCTCCTTCCACTCAGCCTCCCAGTAGAAGTCTTGGTCCCGCCGGCGGCAGCCAAAAAACAAGATGTTTTCTGGGGAAGCATGGGACGGGGTTGAGGGGGCCCTCGAGCCTGGATTTGGGTCCTCAGGGCTCAGCCGGGCCTCCTCCCCACCCTAGATTGTGCGCTCACCAGTCTGACCCCGGGCCACACGCTCCTGGATGGCAGCTCGGAAGGGGGCCACACCAGTGCCTGGCCCTACCATGATCACAGGTATGTCTGGCATCTGCGGAAACGTCAGGCCTCCAGGCTGCACCCACAGGGGCACCCGGACAGGTCCTATTGGGGGAGGGAGGTGGCATGAAGAGCTTGGAGGCGCAGGGCCCAGCCCCAGACCTGCAGAGAGCTAGGGTCACCTTGCCCAGGGTCCAGGGATGCCAGCCAGGAGGAGCAGAGGCCCCGGCGGGGCTCCTTGAGGCGTGTCTGGTACTGCACCACGGCCACGAGGATCTGCAGCCTCGAGGGGTGAGCCTGAGGGAGGGGACAGTGGGTGCCCTGCCCCACTGGGCTCCCCCTGCCTGCTGCCCTGGCTTCAGGCTCCAGGCACTTCACTCAGGCAGGGTCCCAGGGAGATACTGAGGGTTGTGGGCAGCTCACTGCCTGTACGCCGGGCCCTGCCGCCCAACAGGGATGCCCCAGCCCCAGCTCCCCGGAGGCCAGCTCCTCACCAACTGAGAGGAGGCAACAGAGAAGGCCCGTGGCCGGATTGGGGGGATGAGGTCCAACAGGTAGTCTGGGGGGATGGCGCCAGCCGTGTGTGGGAAGTCGCACAGCACCTGGGCAGAGACAGCCTCAGGAGGGCTGTGGCCAACATGGCTGCACGCAGCTGTGGCCCAGAGCCCAGGCCCGCCCACCAGCCCCTGTACACACCTCGAGGATGGTCCTGCGGGGCCGGGTGCAGTAGCTGTGCAGCTCCTCGTGGCCTTGGGCAGAGCTGAACTCTAGCAGCTTCTCCCGCTCCCGCTCGTGGGGGGACAGACAGGCCAGGAGCTCAAAGAAGGAGCGGCGGGGCACGCTGGTAATGTCCAGGTACTGGGACACGAGGCACCGCACGGAGCAGGGCTGGGGCAGCTGCTTGGGGCAGGGGACATCTGCAGCAGGGAACGGAGGCCGTGGGGGCCAGGGACACGGGTGAAGGAAACAAGGTGGGCGGGGGACATGGGGGAAGGCAGAGAGGGGGCAAGGGTGGCGGCGGCTGGGGCTCACCTGGCTCCTGGGGCTGCAGTGTGAAGTGCTGGTCAGGTTCCAGGCCCAGCACCTGGCAGAACTGCCGGATGTGGCTGGCCGCGTTCTCAGGTTGGATCAGCACCACGTCACCGGCCGCAAAGCTGTATGGGAGAGCAGCCAGAGGGCGTGGGAAGGACACCGAGGGCTGGGGGAGGGCCTGCTTGTGGGAGGAGGGTGCTGAGAGCTCTGGGGAAACTGCAGAGGAGGGAAGCAAGTGTTGGGGGGGGCGGGATGACGATGGGGGGTCCTCCCACCCCTGGCCTCTGTCTCCCCTCTCTGCCCTGCTGAGTACCTGCTTTGGGAGAGGACCTGCTGAACCCCAGACCACGGTCCCCCTTGCCTTGGCTGTGCCCTCCACAGGCCCCAGGACAGACCCTCACCTGAGCCCAGAGCCTGCGACGTCGAACTCGATCAGCCGAACATCCTGGAAGTGCGAGGGCCCTGTGACCCTCCGGTTGGTGACCATGGGTGCCAGGACGGGCTGTAGCTCTGAAGGGGGTCCCTGAGGGTCTGTCCTGGCCACACGCAGCTCCTCAGAGCAGGTCCTGGGGGCCTCCTGAAGGAACTGCAGGGTGAACTTGGAGGGCCAGCTGTGAGGAGGGCGGACACCGGTCAGACCTGGAGGAGCGGCCCCTTGGGAGCCCGAGGCCAGGCCCAGCTTGCGGCGCGGACCCACGGCTCACACTTACGGGACCCCAGGTGGGTCGAGGGGCACAGGCTGGGGCCCCAGCACCTTCTCCCACAGGTTGTGCAGCCAGGGGTCGATGGTGGCGTCCGGCCTGCAGAAAGCACGGGCACGCCAGTCCGGGGACCCTGTTCACGGCGGGTCTGGGGGAGGGCGTGCCCGCACTCACCCCAGCTCATGCTGGTCATCGCCTAGGCAGACCGGCAAGAGGGCGCTGCCTCCGAGCTGCAGCAGCCGTCGGTACAGTTTCTTGGCCACAAAGTTAAACCTATGGCGAGATGGAGGACGGTGCTGGCCTGGGCGCCCGGCTGGGGCGGAAGGGAAGTGCCTAGCTGGCTGCACGTGGAGGGGGGTCCTATGTCCTCCTGGGGTCACTCCCTGAATGACAGCTGCTCCTAGGGACACTGTCAGCAAGAGAGCCTCCTACCCCTCCCGTGGGTGCACGCACCAGCGGGGACGATGGATGTTTCCATTACGCACAGAACAGAGTTCCAAAACGCCCCACAGGCGAGGGTCAGGATGCCACCCATTTTCTGTCTCGTTCATCTTGGTGCCCTCAGGCCTCATGCTGCGTCTGCCCCCTCCCTCAGTCTGCGCTTGGGAGACTTAATGCCCCGAGAACCTGTGAACACAGAGTCCTCAGAATTTCTCCGGGAAATAACGCACGATACGATCTCTGCTTAGGACACAGGCGTGTCGTGAAAACGTTAAAGGAAAAAGAAAAACAAAGGCGGGCAGTCATGTGGCCATGCCCAGGGAACTGGGTTGGGGGCTTCCAGGGCCTGGGGTCTCTAGTGCCCACTGCCTGTTCACACATCACTGTGTGTTCTCTGTGCCCTCTGTGAGCCCAAGGATCTCAGGAAAGGCTTTTATAAAAGAAGGGGGAGATCCAGGTGGGCCTTTGTTGCCCTCAGTCACATACTGACAGGTAACACTGGCTGAGATCCTGGACGTCCCGTCCTGACATCACCTCCTGCCCTGGAAGGTATGGTCCAAAGCCAGGCCCCCTCACTGCTGCCCCGCCAGCTTCCTGTGTGTGCCACAGGGCCTCTGGCCGTGGAGGAGGTGCCCACCAGGGAGTGTCTGTGGGACTAGGACACGTGGCCAGGGTCACATCCCAAAATCTAGGGGGAGCCCTGGGGGTGCCAGGACACCTTGTCCCTGAGCCTGAGCACAGGCCCCGCTGGCCAGCAGCCTGCCTGCCCCCACTCACCTGGCATAAGAGGAGTCCCCGAGGCCCAGGACGGCGAAGTCCATGTGGCAGAGGGAGGCCGCCGGCAGGCTCCTCCGGAAGATGAACCTCCAGAAGTTCTAGAGCCAGAAGAGACCACGTTCCAGGCTGGCTCTGTGCCGCCAGGGCCCAGGCGGGGAGAGGGGCTGCCTCCTGGACCATCCCAGGGCACCGCTCTCCTGCTCCTGAGCAGCTTTGTCATTAAACAGGACTTTTTTTTATTCTATCACAGTGGAAAGAAACTTGGAAAAAGGCAGAAGTTGGCAAAGGAGAAGCGAGCTGCCCCAGAGCCACCAGCACAGAGCTGGGCTGCCCATTTTATAGATGGAGAAGGCTACCATCAGGCTACTCTGGACGTGCTCCCCACCCCCAGGGCTCCCGCCTGACCCGGGTGCTGGCTGAGGTCCACACCTGTCCCCTCTCCCAGGGAACCCCCACCTCCATGTGTCTAGCCATCCCAGGGGACCTGACACCAGACCCCCCGAGGTCCAAGCCCTCTCCTTCCCTGACCATAGGGTCATGCACTGGGCGGCCCCTGCTGCAGCACGTCTCATTCCGCACCCTGCCCTGGCCTCCCTGAGGGCCTACAGAGGCTCTTCTGAAACACAGCTCCCCTTCACCTTCGGCCTGTGGGCATCTGAGCCCTGAGACGCTGCCCCCTACATTCGGTCCCGACTTCGCCTCATAGCCCACCTCCCTTAGGCCTCCTGCCTCACTGGACAGAGGCCCGGTCGGCACAACTCCGGCCACCGGCCCTTGACTGCACCCTGGGCTCCTCAAGACCTTGCTGCACAGGCCACTGCTGGGGACGACGCCCACTCTGCCTCCCGAGACTCCCTGCTCACTCCTGCTGAGACCCTGTTTCCTGAGGGTTGCAGAGCCCCTCCAGGACGCCTCCTGAGATGGGATCTTATGTCTGAAGATGCCTGGACCCTCCCTGCACACTGACCGGCAGACTGCTGGGCACACGTTAGGCTGAAGTCATCTTCCTCAAGAACCCAAGGTTTGCTCCAAGCTGGTCCAGATGGGTGGTGCTGCTAAGAAGCCAGTATCCCTCTGTGCCCTGCTCTGTCCTCCACCAGCCACCTGGGCACTCTCTGTCCCCAACAGCTGAAGCCCACATTCGACGTGCGTCACTGGGAGCTCTGCTCACGGCAGGCCCTTCCTGGGCACACGGCGGGCTCTCAGGCTGCAGACCCCTGTCCTTCAGTTTTGCTACTTTCCTTGATAATTCTCTCCCTGCTCCTCTTCCTGTTTTCAGGCTATGGAAGGGTCCTGGAACTCTGGTATCATGTTTCTTGTTTCCTCCCTTTTTGTTACACTTTCTGGGAGAATTTCTCAACATCATCTTCTGATCTGTTATTTTAAATGGTGTTTCCTCTGCTCCAACTCATCCAAGTCTTGTGTTTTTATCCCAAGACCTCTCTCCCTTCACACGTGGACTCCTGGCTACTCTGCCTCCGCTCCTCTGGGTTCTGCTGTGTCTCTTGGTCTCTGTCTTTCCCAGGGGTCTTTCCTTGAAGAGTGTGTGGTGGTTCTTTGTGGCCTTTCTGCTGAAGAAGCTGAAGGGAGACTCCACGTTCGGACCTGTCACCACTGAGTTTCATGGCTGGGAGATGGGGCAGGGCTCTGGCTGCCTGGGAGGGCACGCCTGGCCGGTGTTCTGAGGGCCACGACAAGGAGGCTGGGGGCTTCCTGTTCAGTGTGTACCCAGTCCGAGCCTGGCTTTCAGCAGGAGCTGTGCCCCTAAGCCCCTGGTCTGCAGCCTCTTGAAGGAGCCTCCGATCCAGCTGTGTGGGGGAGGGCCCCCACCCTGATCACCTCCATGGGGGTCCAGCCCCACACTCTACCCTGCTTTAGCCACCCTCGACCGGGGTGACTGTCACTACCTTTGTGCTGTTGGCTTCTGATGTCAAGTCTGCACCTCTGCCCTGACTGCCCAGCCCGCTGACCTGATGGAGGTCTTCACACCCCACCTGCCCCCATGCCCTGCGTCCTGGGCATCTACCATCCTCCTGCCTGTGATCTCCCCAGACTTACCTCCTCTCCTGTCCCTCTTCCTGTCTATAGAGACCCCTCCTGCCTGTGCAGGGTCTCCCACCTCATCCCAACTCTGGTTCCATTCATTTATCTGCTTCCCTTCCCCTAACCACCACTTAAACCTACCTGAGTTCCTCTGTCTCATAAATACCTTCTATTTAACCCCCTAGCCCCATTCGCAGCCAGTACCTTTTTTGAACTGTTTAATGTGTACATGTTCTTCAAAGCTTCTCTTCTGAGGTCACAGTTCCTTTTGCTAATAAACCCCACCAAGCCTCTCAGGACATGTCTTACTTTGTTCCCATCCTCTCGAAACAGTCACCTCTCTGCCCTTGACCTTGGAGATGGTGTGCTTCCCCTTCCTACTGGCCGGCCGCTTTCCTCCCTTCAGGGCTTTCCCCGCCTTCCACGCCCTGAGTGGTTAGGATGGCCTGTCCTGGGGGAGGGAGGAGCTTCCTTTGTCACACCTCTGCATTTTGGTCACTGCAACATCTCCCTCCACCCAGGATCCTCACCGGAGCTCCAGACCCACACTGTGCATCTCCACCTGGACCACTTCTAGGCACCTCACCCTCCGTACTCTCTTATTTCTGTGCACAGAACTACCCCCCAACCCCAGTACCTGAGCCCAAATTCTTGTCTTGAATCCACCTCCTTTCTCAGCTCATAGATGGGATTCCATGTCCTAGCAATTCTACCGTCTCCTTCTTCTTCTTTTTTTCTCTTTTAATTGAAGTGTAGTCAGTTACAGCGTGTCAATTTCTGGCGGCAATTCTACTTTCTTATTGTCTCTGGAATGTGTCCGCTTTTCTCTACTCTGCCACAATCCTGGCTCGCAACGCCAGCCTCTTGACTGCATTGTGCACTCCCCTGGTGTTGCTCTTGCTCTCCTACAGCCTGTTCCCCCACTGCAGACAAATGCTGATTCTTCTAGAACTTACAAACATGACTGTGTCACTCCATGGATTCTGGGGGCCTTCCTTTCAAGTCCATCTGCCTCGCTGTGGCGGCAGGGCTCCTTGGGATGGGGCCTGACTTCCTGCCTCTCTTCTCCCCTCCAATCTCAATTCACTCCTTGGCTCGACCATCCTCAATGACTTTCTGTTCTTCCCAGAGGCTGCTCCCTCTTTCCTGGTCCCTGGCAAGCCCCCACTTACCCTTCAGGACTTAGCCTACACTCCTTTCCTCCAGAAAGCTCTCCCTGAAGCCCCAGATTGGGCTAGACAGCCCTTATTAATGCTCCCCTAACACATAGCACTTTCCCCAGCAGCAAGTATTTCCTGGCATTGTAACTGCCTGTTAAACTCTTGCTTTTGCTACATTTTGGGCTCCACAAGGATAGTTATGTGATTACTGGGTTCATAGTTGGATTCCTAGCACTAGATTATGCTTAAAACACAGTATGTGCTCAAAAGATGGTCAAAGAATTGAAGAATGTCCCCTAAAGGTCAAACAGTTTTGAAATACACACAAGACCCATACCAGATTTATATACAGGCCTGGAGAAAATAGGAAAGCTTAAAATGGTGGCCTGGGAAGAGTTTATTAGGGAGGACAACCAGGGCCCCCAGCTCCACCCAAAGATATCCTCCCAAATCCACAGTTAATGTGCAGCAGCCACAGGAGGGCATCTGTTTATTGTGCTTCCTAGGCAATGAAAATGGGGATCTGAGCTCCCGAGAGAGATAGCCACCTCAGGTCAGCCTTACCTTCATGTTGTCAGGGGGGTCTCCTTGGCCTGTAGTTGCACAAACAAATATCACCAGGGGCTCATTAATCAGATTCACCTCAACAGAAAAACACACATGTAAGGCCTCAGGCTGTAACGGCCAGGCATCCCCCCAGCAACCTGGCTCCCTCCTTCACATAGGGTGACGGGGCAAAGGGACTCCGTGCACACCCGCGAGCGCCGGGATGCCTTCTCTCTTTCAGGCTCCACCCGCCTACCTTGCCCCCTCCTCCATGTGCTACGCTGTCCGCTGTTCCCACCTTCCCCGTCCCCTAAATCTGCCGTAATGGAAGGGCCTGCTCTCAGACAAAACGCGGCTCCCTTGGGTGGAGGACTTTAAGGGCCGGCGGCCCGGGTCTGCTCGGTCTCCCCTCCGAGGCCCAGGGAGCCCTCACCACCGGGTAGGAGTCCAGGGCCTGCACCCGGCAGCCGAGCCGCCGGCGCCGAGCCTCGCGGCCCAGCCTCTCCGATACATCCTGGGCTGTGCCTGTCTGGCTGCCGAAGAGCACCAGAAGTCGCGGGCTCGGCATCGAGGCTCGCCCCAGAGAGCCCTGCATTCAGGGACCCTCCCAGCAAGCAGCCCCACAGGCCCCGGCGGCCGGCCCCGGCTCCGACTTCCGACTTCCGACTTCCGGCGTCGACCGGAAGTGACGCCTTTGGGCCGCGCCCGGCGGGGCATGGCGTCCGAACGAGGCGGGCATCCGCTGGCGGCCAGTGCT